GCTGCCAACATTGAGGAACACTGATTTAAAAAAAGTGCCCACTAAATTGAATGGGCTTGAATTGTGGGATGTTTTGTACAAAAATGGAATTGAAGGTTTATTGCTGAATGAAATAAGAGCGATATATGATGGAAGTTAAGTATACATAAGAAAAAACGGAATGCTTAGTGAGCAGTTCAATGTTTAGCAGACAGTAAGAAAATGGTGTATAATGTCCCTTGGCTATTTAATGTATTTATGGTTAAAACTATAAGGAATACTTGTGATGGCAGTCAAGGTCTGTTGATCAGGGGCATGCAGGTATGTGTATCTTTGTATGCAGATAATGCCGTGCTGTAGGCTGAGAACCTGAATGATTTGCAGTGAATATTAGCTTGATTGTATGATGCAACGAGGTGTGTGAATGCATCACAGATCCAGTTAAAATATCACAGAAAAGAAGTTGTGTTGACTGGGGAAATGTATTGAATGATTATAAGTTATGCATAAATGAAGAAAAACTTGAGCAAGTAGATGAGTTTGGGTATGTTGGTAGAATATTTACTGAAGACAGGAAAAAGGGTGGGGATATTTCACCACATGCAAATGCTGCAGGTGGGTAGGAATGAAAGTTTGTCAAAACGAGATAATTCAAAACAACCAAACCAGTAAACGCCGATAGGGTGGGGGTCCTTTGCTTTCCGAAAAAAACCCAGGCTCATTTAAATTACTATAATAGGAAATAACAAGTTACAGAGTGAAGAACAGAACTAATCAACTGCAAAATTATTCGTGATCCCGATTCCCCTTTATTTGGAAAGAGAAACAGAAATTATGTTCTGAACCTTATAGCCTGGATTCTAAATGTCTGCATGCTACAAGCAATTTCTCACCTATCATTAACTGAGGACTCAATCAATGGGGCTGACTCCCCACCCAATACACACACACAGTGGGGGAAGACTTCAACCATGGAGGAGATGGGCTGCATGTGATCAGAAGAAGAGATCTGGACTCTCGCTCATTATAAACTAGATTTAGGTCCATTCAAAGTTTATGTGTCATTATCTAATAATGGGTTTACCCCGTGTAATGGTATGTGGGAAAGACCTTGGGAGACAGGGCCAAGAGACGCTGCCTAGGGAACAGTCAGATAAGAGGCAGCTTAGCCTGCAGCTGCATAACGGGCAGGGCAAGAGGCTCAGAAGAGACCCTCCCTAGTTTCTTGGGCTGTAAAGGAGACAGGGGGAAAATGTGCTTTCAGACTTGCAAGATTCTGTCAATCTCACCGTACAATAATGTAGAATTAGCTCATCTAGTTGTGATTCTTATCTGATTTACCCCACAAGGCCAACAACTGTGACTTTTCCCAGCTCTTGCAAAGAAACAAAGGACATGGGTCAATATTAATCATAATTATTTTGGGCAGATGGCAGACAGAGGTGGCTGGAAACGTTCATGGTTCGCCCTGTCACTTCCTTGTCCCTCCACTTTTAGCTGCTCTTTGTTAGCTATTTGGAAATATTCTGGCAAAAGTGAGAAAAGATGTTTTCACAAAGCTGTAGTTAAGATGTTCTGTTTAATGTGCTATTATGCAAAAATGTTCTAGACGATTAAGAAAGCTTTCGGTGGAAACAGAAATCTGTTCCCAAGAGCATAAATGTATTTGTTGTGGTCTGTAAAATATGTTATGGGGAATAAAAACTACCATGTTATGGGGAATAAAAATTGCCATTCATCACTGTTCCTTCCTATTCCTGCTCAAAGATCTCTCTAAGCGGTATTGTTTCTCTCTGAACCCTGTAAGCTGCCCAGAGTCACGTGTGTGAGATGGACAGCTATGTAAATCAAATAAATAAATAAATAAAGTGGTTGTTGAGTTGGTGACAAGGCGTCCCTTAAGCCGAGGGTAAGCCATTCTGGGGGCCAGGGACACAAATGACCCCAAAGGCGAGCCATCAACCATACTGTCAAATGTTAGTGATGCCAGAACTGTCACGCAAGTCCGAAAAAGGCTTTGTGTCATTTTTCAAAACTGGGAAAACTCTACATGTTCAGAAATAGAAAAGCGCACCTCTGCTCACATGTATGGCATGTCCTCATGCCACTCACTTTGGTCCTGAGCGATCCCCTCTCCTCAATTATTGCATTATGGTCACTATAGCCAAGCCTTGTTGCATCAGACTGTCGATATGGTTTCAGTCCTGCTTTGTAATTGCTGGATTGCAGGACGCATGGAAAATGTTGCCTCTCTATTTCTTAAAGCTCCAGCTCCAGCTTTAGGAAATGGGAACAGTTTTGACAATGGTTCTTTTCAGCCCAAGAAACTTGTAGAAACTTTCTACCGTGGAATGAGCTTTTTCCAGTTTGGGGAAGTCAAAGAACATTATGGGTAGCTTGTAAAAATGGTATCTATGTGTGTGCGTGGAAGATTGCAGAAGATAAGTAAGGGGAATCCTTTTTTTAAATGTATCTATTTTAAAGGATTTATAATTCAAAGTTCAGTTTAAATGCTTCTCAGGTGAATTTGTCTCTGTCTCTCATACACCCCCCACCCCCATACAAGTATTTACCGTATATAAAAATGCTGAGCCACTTAAATGTTCAAGAAATGTGCTGGAAACCCATTCTCATCTTAAAAGTTGAAGGCCATTTCAGCAGATAATCCAGTAAAGACTTTAGATCAACATTTCAAATATTTATTTTTATTTATTTATTTATTTATTTATTTATTAAATTTTTCAACTGCCCATCTCCCCCCAATGGGGGAACTCTGGGTGATTCACAACAAACATTAAAAACTTACAATATATAAATACATAAAACCTGAATTAAAAACATTACTAAAAAGGAGAAGGAGAGTCCAA